CGCCCGGTGACTTAGCACAATACCAACCCCTGCACATCCCACCGCAGCAGCCTCTGGATCACCAGAGGTGCGTAGCCGGAAGCGAGTGGAGACTGACGGGGCGGTTAACTCAATCACTGTGCTTGCATCTTGAATTATCGTTTCTGAGACACATCACACATCAATACCAAGCGAGTCCAGTGTGAGTGCAAGAGCAGCTTGTTGTCCTGCTTGCTTCAGAATGTGAACATTGAACGCGGCCAGATAGAGTGGGTGTCGAGGCTTGAGGACTGATTTGGAGATTCCTGAAGATGTCGGCACCATGTGACGAGCAGATGCTGCACGCAAAACCGATGCATGACGAACGGAGTCATCAGTCCTAAGTGCTGGGTCTACAAGGAGAGAGTTATTAATGGGGTGGGGAGAGGGGGAAGGAAAAGTATGTGAAGGAGAAAGAAGGGAGGCCTCAGCACTAGCCTGTTTTCGCTACAGGTAGGGCGACCTGATTGATGGCACCATGCGACGGCTGATGTGGCATGAGTTTATTTGTGTATGCGCTATTCATTCAGTGCTATTCATTCATGTGCATTCATTCAGTCACGAAGAGACTGGACCTTAACGTGGTGTGACGGTTCGCGCACCTCAGCGATCCATTGAGCTATACTGGAGAGTGCCCCGCGACACTCACAGAGTTCTCACACACCCAGGTTGGTCAATGGTTAGAGGTCTGTCGAACATAGTCTCCTGGCCCTCCAGGTTGGGGGTTGGAACATGTGGTGACTTGTTCCGTAGAAGTGGTAATGCATTTGCATTACCTGCCAAACACCGCTGACTTGCGGTTAGGCTTTTTAGCCAAAGGCTTTGGTTGAGAACGCTAATCGTCCTCCTGTCTAGGTATGGGCTCCCTGGTAGTATCCCAGCCCACGTACAACCATGAATTTGTCCGTCATACTGATAATCATGCAAGTGATACGAATGTTGACCAATCTTCACTACCGAGGCATTCAAACAAAAAAGGCAGACCGTGCCCTGAATCAGAAATGGGCCATATGTCTAAAACCATCTTGGCAGTAAACTACAGGAACATAATTCGGGAATGAAAACATATGCATTATTTATGGGATTGGGACTTGTCTCAAGGAGAGCCGTCAGCGAGGTGGACAGTACTGTATCCATCTCCGATTTTGCCTGGGGTGTTTGAGTGCTGCCTGTCATCCTTCCCTTCATGTGCATTTCCCGTTTTCCATCCATGTTAAGCTAATGAAAGCATGAAAATCCTGTTTTGGTATATAAGGTTAACGGTCTGAACACGTCATAATTGTCGGTTATTTTTGTGAACATTTTGGAACTGCTTGCCTTGGTCGACCATGCTCATGCTGTTTTTTTTCAGGGTACAAAAGTTAACAAGTCCGTGTTCTTGGTGTTTTTCCAAGGGGATCAGTTGCGCACACGCGTGAAGAAGATTTGTGAGGGGTACGTATTCATTTTCAAGCTTGTGGAATCCCTCAGTTTGACGGTTTTTCCCGCTAAACCTGAAAAGCCTTCCTGTCCTCAAACTTATTGATATAACCAGTAAAATTAATCTCAAGTGACTGCATTACCTACGTTGAGCGATTTTTTCATCTATGATACAGACTGATAGTCAGACCAGGTGTTTAAACATGATATATTAAGTCCAGTGAACATTACCGTCAATTTTTTTACATCTCACAGCGGGACATGGTTTTGTAACGAAAGCTTGAAACACAGTCGATATTTCAGTTTGCCGAGCAGTTGCCAGCATTCTGGATGCGTACTACACGTTCGAGTCCATCTCTGCAACCACTGTTCACACTATAAATTTTTGGAGACTGTCAACTGATGGTACCCACCACAGTTAAGCCCTTTTCTCTGGGAACATTAATCTCTAGCTCTACTAAGTTTTGCAGAGACAACTGGGTGTGTAGTTCATTCATCATGTATTCCGTTAAGTTCAATCTGGAGCACACAGGCTTGTGTAGTGTTTAAAGCAGGTTGCGTTTATGTGGTGTTACATTTGGGCAAGTGTTCATCGTCGTTTGTGGTGCTAATCGTTTTCTGAACAAACGTGACATGCTTGCTGAGCATACATTCTTCAAGCGAACATTTATAAGTCAAGTGACGAGTGTCTTAAACCTCCTTGAAGACCATCTAGGACCAGTGTTGGTTGGGCACATTGATGACTACCTCCCTCGCAACATCAGCCTTGGACGTAATAGATGCTGAAGTGCGGTCTTTAAAGTATGTTGCTCTCGCCAACTACTAGTTATATTCACTATTAGAAAGTTGAAGTTGGTGCGTTCATAAAATCACAGACCTAGTCGTTCGGTTAATCAAGGCACTGCGCAGTACACACCTAATAAGCAGTTTTTCAGCGTCGACAGTCGCAACCACTGTCTCAGGAGTAGAGAATACAAAAATATGACTACATTCTACCCTCAGACTGTTCTTTGGGTGACTGACGAACAGACACTCAGTTTGGGATACAATTTCCTAGGAACTGGTCGGGCTTCGTTGTTTCAGTTCAGTTATGTGCCAGGCGTTCAACTAGCCTTTGCTGATTATTCGTTTTCGATAAAAGTTGTTGAGCGAAGTTCTGAGAATTTTATCCCCTTCAATTTACAGATTCCACGCCAGTATTTCTCCTTGCCCGGATTCGCAAGCCGACAGGCGTAATATGGCGATCGAAGTGATGGGAAAGATTGAAGACTTGGAAACCGTGCTTGCTCAGACTAAGGAACATCGTCAGCGCATATTGGAGACTGCGGCCAAAAATATTCGTGTGTGGTTCATCAAAGTTCGCAAAATCAAAGCGATCTACCATACGTTGAACTTGTTTAATCTGGATGTTACCACTAAATGTATGGTTGGAGAGTGCTGGTGCGCGGTCAACGATGTGGATAAAATTCATCTGGCTTTGCGTCGTGGTATGGAACGCAGTAACAGCACATTGCAACCTATTCTTAATGGTCTGGTAACGCGTGAAAGCCCACCCACCTACCACCGTACAAACAAATTCACAGCAGCATTTCAAAATATCATTGATGCCTATGGCGTTGCTCGTTATCGGGAAGTCAATCCGGCAATCTTTACGGTGATTACCTTCCCGTTCCTGTTTGCTGTCATGTTTGGTGATGCAGGACATGGTTTGCTCATGTTCCTATTCGCCTTGTGGATGGTGGTCTGCGAACGAAGTTTAATGGTAAGGAATCCGGTTTAGCTCATTTTTACGCGCGTTAGTTGTTTGTCTCTGTAAGAGTTCATATTCAATGCCTGGAATTCGATTTTCTCGAGTCTGTCGGTCAGTTTATCAGGTATAAGCCATGTACTTCTAGGTGCACGTTGCTTCCAGATACTACAGTTCCGATCACCGGAAAATGGGAGAGCGTAGGTGCTACAGCCAAGCATTTGGGTGGGGGAGACGACTTTTTTTTATTTAGTTCGGGAACTGGACAGCTACGCGTCTAAGGCGATAGCTTTGATGCACGAACGACACTAACTGGCCGATTGGACCATTTCTGTCAGTGTCACCAACCATTGGTTAGTTGAGTTCCGGGGTCCAAATCCAGAGTGTGGCAGTTGTCGACCCGACTCAGCTTATCAGCGTTTTCATACTTCGTTCCTAGGTCACACACTGTCCACCTCTCGATCGCTTTCGCTCAAAGCAGGGCTCGGCAAAAAAATCTCTGTGGGGTAGACGGTCTTCTGGCATATGGAGTACATGTCCTAACCAGCGTAACCTATGAAGTGTGGGTAATTCATCTATCGCGGGAGAGTTACTTCTTTCCAGGACCACCTGGCGTACATTAACATTACTAATCCGATGTTCCTACCAGGCCCCACTAATGCTTCGGAGACACCGATGGTCAAACACTGACATCTTTCGTATGTTCTTTGCGCGTAGAAGCCACGTCTCTGATCCATAGGGCAGTATGAATCGCGGATTTACTGACCCGACCTCTGCCTCTTGACTTCCCTTGTCTAGGCTTAGGCAGCCCGGCAGCCCTCTTGCTTCTTTCCAGTGGCATGGCAGGTAGGCACCGAAAAGGTGTTGCGACACATCAATAACAAACGTGAAGAAAAGTAGTGAGAGAGTTCAGCCTTGTCTTACACCACTAAAGTTGGCCGATAACTTGCTATACACTCATACATACATCGTACAAGCTCACGTGCAGCGCCTCCATAAGAAATATAGATTTGGAAGGGGTTCCAGAATACTAGTGAAAGAGCCGTACTGTGTTGATACGCGACGGATTCTCGAAGCAGTCTGTATACTGCAGATCGTGCTGAAGAATGCCAATGGGGTGTCGAATAAGAAGGGCTATATCGAGCTGGTTAAAGTTAGACTCCAATTAATCTCTTGTTTATGATGTCTGAACGAGTGTGCGGCGCAAACTGCTTAGGAACTTGAGACGGCTCATTGGTTAAGGCGCGAACTTATTGACCGGAAGGTCCGTGGTTCGAATCCTATCTCGGTATCTTGCCTTTCGTTTAGGCTTGGGCAACCTGGTACTATCTTGGCCCTTGTGCTTCTCTCAGAGTTCATGCGCCCAGACGGTGTTACAGCTTATATATATATATATATATATATATATATTGTGGAGTAAAACAAACGAGGGCTTCATTTGAACTTCATGATAAAGCTATCTGTTTTTAGTTGATCCTGAAGCTCTGTGTGAATGAATGATTTTCTTGAGATTCGCGGAACACCGATGTGATGGGTTGTCATCTGCCACACTCTTCTGAGACGATCGGCTTCAGGGCTTCTTCGATTGTTAATAATGTGATTGATTATTTTAAACCCTTCCGAGAGGCAGGAAAAGCAATTAGTTTGAACATTAAGTAAATGTAAAAAGCGGACAAAAATGATATGATGTTTGGAAGACATTCGAGTGCGAAAGTCTGTATGGACGCCTTAACTTAGTGGAATGTCTATTGTTCATTGTATGGACACCTCAGAATGCCACTCTTCACTCCACTTCTTATTTCTGAATGTTTCCTATATAATTTCCTGGTCGCTTATCGTCCGATTAGTTAGGATTTTTTTACGTTTGACGGAAGAGAGTGTTCTTTTTGTCTCCCACCGTACTATTCTGGATAATTCGCTTTCTCTGCACTCCATGGTTTTCGCTGACTCTAATATCTGCATTTTTCGGTTCCAGGCGAAAAAGTCCACAAATGAAGTTTGGCAAATGTTCTTTTCCGGCCGTTACATTCTCCTGCTTATGGGCATCTTCTCAATCTACACAGGCCTTATATACAACGACGTTTTCTCGCGTTCGCTCAACATATTTGGTTCATCTTGGTATCCCACATATGACCAGGCCACCTTGACCAAGCATGACTTCTTGCAGTTGAACCCGCTCACCGTCAACCAAACGACAGACCGTATGTTCGCCGGTTACCCATACCCTTTCGGTCTGGATCCCGTTTGGCAGTTGGCAACAAACAAAATCATGCTGACCAATTCAATCAAGATGAAGATGTCCATCATTCTTGGGGTTCTACACATGTTGATGGGTATATTTTTGGGCGCTTTTAATTATCGGTACGTCATAGGTGAAAGTCTGGTTCGGTCGGGGCAGTCACTGTAATTCATAATTGTACACGTGTTGTCCTTGAAGAGTCGACAGTGCTTCTTTTGTAGCTTCAAATCTTCATTTCAGCTAGGGCCAAATGGAGACCTGTTTAGGGCATTCAAGTACCAGTACTTGCCGCGTGTGTATCTCGGTTATTATTGTTATGATTATAGCCTCCTATGGTTCAGCTCAGTAACACCGCATCTCACGCTGCCCGTAGACGAACAAAATGCTTTTTAGGTAGCAACGTAATGAGTCTTCGAATATCCTTCGCTCGAAGAGGTTGAGCTTTGCTCTCATAAAGGTGTGTTGATCAAATAGGTGCTCTGTAAACTGAACCGTAGCGAAGTACTGGTGTCACCGTCGCTGCAGCTGTTCAAGATCTTCGACAGCGGTTGTGGCTTTGGCGGTCCGCAACTCAATTCCAGCGGTCATTTTCGCAGGCGGCCATTTGATTCTTCAAGTACGTAGAATATTCAACCAATTCGATTATTCTGCCAGCACGACCAATCGTGATGATCGGTTTAAAAAGTGGTTCTACATGTTTCTAGTGAGAGAACGGTTTCGTGACGTTGGTAGTCTGAGATTCGGGAATTTTCAGTGGATATTTCTTTCTCTAGATGGAACTGAAAGCCGAGGGTCATTGTACGGACGTTACATCCTTAGTGGGGATTATCAGCGACGCGCGTCTTATCTATCTCCTGGACAGTTTCGTACCCGCGATGAAACAGCAGTACAGTCTTTCGTAATGGTTTTCTGCTGGTATCAAACAGGTCAGCATGTTCCGTATGGTTTGCTTCCGAAGTGGAGTTTACCGTTTATGGCCGCGTCACAGCGATACGATGTGAAGCATACAGCTACCGGCATTGGTGAGCTGGGAAACGCATAGTTTCCCGCTCCTTCATGCAAGTGTTTCGAATTGTGTTGAAGTGAGCCGACGGTCATTGAGTGCACGTGGTACATTGGTGTCATGGATAGCGAATCGATGGCTACGGATGTTCCATTTGACGGGGGCTTAGGAAAGATCTAGAAGCATGAGGATCGCAGGCAGTTTTTAGAATAGCAGATATATAATAAGAACACTCAAATCAGCAATGCTGTTGACCAACGTAGGTTTCAAAGCTCAGCTCGAACTATTGCCCGGAGGAGCAATGAATAACGTTTTAGTGCATGGCGATGCCTCGCTGTCCGGTATCTGGCCTAGGTGTGGATTTATAACAGGACTAGTTCAGAAATGGTGCGAGAAAGCACACATTAGCCCATGTAGGAATGCTGTGCTTTCGTATTTTACCGTGTGGTTTCGTGGTTTACCCCTGTATCCTCTTCCTCACGCTTTTATATGAGCCGGTAATGTGCGTTATTCTTCACAAGTTTGTGGTACATCAGCCCGCGGAGCATTTACAGGAGACAACCTCCGCTCATCCGCTTACACCCGAAGGATGTCTTCTGTTCCCCAACTGATAAACTGTAGCTCTGCTTCCAGTATAACATTGTAGCCTTGCCATTGCTTTTACTTCCACTGATTTTGCTGTCCGCATCGACGTTTATCTGACTGGTGAACCGACCCGATACCAGAATGACCAAATCCCTGTATTCGTTTTGCAGTTTCTTCAATGAACCACTCAGCATTTGGTGCGAGCTGGTGCCCCAAGTACTGTTTATCTCCTCCATCTTCTTCTACTTGATTGTGTTGATATTCTACAAGTGGATCGGCTTTTCGGCCGAACAGTCAGCCGTTGCTCCGAGCCTCCTAATTAGTAAGTAAATTTGTTGGTAAAATTTCCGGGTATGGGAAACTTAACTGATTGAAAAGCCATATTTCCCATTGTGGGATGAAGTGTTGCATTCTAGATATTTCATGCCTCACTTCAAAAATCTCGGTCTTCGCTTAACTCCAGAGACTACCCTTGAGGATCAGAACTAAAACTGTAAGCTGTGGCTATTGGTATTGACGCTAACAGCCTATATACTCTTTCTTCTGGACTCCATTCTTCGTCAGCTTGGTTTGTTTGAACGGAGCTCAGTATGTTTTCGGTCTGAGTCATTCTTGCCCAATAGTCATGGAAAAATAACCCACCACAGTGTTTTCTCAATCAGCTATCTGAACTCCTCGGGAAATTACACCTGTTGTTGGTCCCTTTAGACTACTATTGTATACTGTTCAGGGGGAGTAGCTCCTCTTTAGAGATGTCTGTCTCGAGAACTGTAGTCCTGCATGGCATAGCATAAATATTCCCCTCGTTCATCAATCCCATCGAATGTCCGATTAAAATCAGGTGACCTAATGCGGCTCATTTTGCCCGACACCGTAGTGTGATTGTCATGCTAATATGCATTCACGATAGGTTGATTGCCACTCACTACATTAACTGATACAGTGCCGCTTTTTTGCAGACCTGATCAATATGGTTCGATTCAGCTACAGCAACGACGGTCCACCGGCAACACATACCTTCTATTCTGGACAGGTATGTATGTTCGTAATCTCCGACACGATATTCTGTGTGCGGCGAATTCCGGTCGCTTCCAGTAATATTTTTTACTATCTTGATTGGTTCAAATTACAGACCTTGGTTGGCATTGTCATATCATATTCTATTCTAAAAAGGAAGCTTAACTGATGTCTCAGTCAGCCTCACGGTATGATTTGCTTAAGTCGCCTAGTAACACTAGTATTCGGTAACTTGGGTTTTGCGGATGTCTAAAATCATTCAGCCCTATCACCCCTTCGGTGCCTAACTGCCATGCCACCCGAAGGAATCACCGGGGCTGGTATTTTGCCAAGTTGCCCAAGTTTCGACAGGGAAAGTCGAGAGGCAGAGGTCGGGTTCGAACCACGGACCTTCCGTTCAGTAAGTTCGCGCTCTGACCACTGTGCCATCTCACGATTGGTTTGCACCAATTCGTTTAGAACGTGTTTCTTAAAATTCCGTTTTTTATGGTGATTGTGGCCAAAATTTTTCCATTCCATAATGAGACTTCAGTGAAAAAAAACGTGGATCGTCCTCTGATTCTGTTTCTTGCTCGCGGGTTTATCGAATTAATCAGTTCTTCGTATTTTAGCAATCACCACGACAAGACCCAGTCAACACCGTTCTTGACGATAACCTGTTTTTTTTTAAATGCCCCGTAGCAAACAATCCAAACCATTCTGATGGTTATCGCGATAATCAGCGTACCGTGGATGCTCCTGACTAAGCCGTTGATTCTTTTGATGCGCCATCGAGCTATTGTCAAGGTAATGTGGTAACTTTTTTGTATTCTTCGGTGTTTATCACTTAGTCTTGTCCACAATAAACGTCGGATGGGACCTTCCTTTCCCATCTCGAAAAATACTTGAATATTTCTGTCCTTAACTCTATACCTCTCTTCGTCACATCGTTTTTTTTCAACTCCACTCTTCCGTAACATTGTTAGACTATCAACATTCCAGTGTTTGAGCTGGGGATAACCTCATTACATCCAACGCCCTGTCCAGCAGTAGAACCGAGTTCCCTAACACCGTCCAGCACCATTGCGGTGTTTGAAGTCCGTTGGCATGCCATAATTATGTCATTGAATCCATACTTTCTAGTGAAATTCCTACAAATCTATTGCCGCTTATGTTGCCATTCCTCACAGTATTCAGCCTATTTGTTAGGATCGGAGTCGACCGATATTCTTTGTCAGCGTCCAATCTGGGTCGTCTCAGACCTCTAGGCGACTTGAACTTGGTCCGCACATGCTCCGTAACCGGCTAATGTGATGAGCACATTGGTTCACTTGTGTTTGCTCAATCTGGGTTGTGCATTTTATCTCCCATAGTTACTGTCGCCAATCTGCGAACTGACTTGGTTGTAGCAGTTACCACGGTTTAGTTGATTCGCGGTGAGCAACCGTTTTAGGCTTTTGAAATCTTCGTTTTCAGTTGAAAGTGAAGTCGATTCCCTTTCATTGACAGAATGGTGTGATTCGGTCATACATACTAATTATTTTTGCCACACTCTCATCTACTTGCTAACTGAAGCGCGCTGCTCGTTCTGCTGCTGCCGCCGATGTTTGTGATATCGCCTATGTGGATGTCGGAGGATTGTCCAACGCGGGTATGATGGAAGAGCCTCTGATCGCTGACGGCGATAGTGGAGCTGGTTATCACGACACTACCCCACTTCACACCTCTTCTAGTAGACTGTCTAAAGCCTCCACCACAACACAGACAAGTACTTCAAGTTTGGCTAGTCAAACAGAAAAAGTGAGTTTTATTGAAACTGGCTCTCTGATTAATTCCTCTTTTCTGTTTCCCCTTCTCTTCATCATGCTTTTTTGTCAAATGTTCGAATGCAACCGTTGCTATTTCGTGATTGATCCCCGTCATCGCAATCGCTACTACTGGGTCTGCAACTCCAGGGTCGTGGTGGGAACCCTCTAACCACAACAGACAATGTCTCTTCTGAAAAGATCATCCTCAATGATGGTCTTCAGTTGGGAGCCCATGGTGATTCCCCCGAGTTGACTGAGGAGCCTGTAAGTTACTGGTCAACACGAACCTGAAAACCCGCTCACGGGGCGTTATTACCCAACCTTGCCTAATCGTGGCTTGTGTGCCTGTGTGCCGTAACACCATGTTGTCCTGCAATAACACTGCGGTTTTGGGTTACCAGCGGACTTCTCAGAACACTTGTTGTTGTACTTCCCACCGTGACTCGTCTGTCTGTCCGTCTGGCATGTTTGGTACACGGCTTGTGTTTATAACGCCTCACCTTGTTTTCTCCGTAATCTTTTTGTTGCAGTTCGACTTTGGCGATACCATGATCTACCAGTCGATCCACACAATTGAATACTGTCTCGGATGTATCTCCAATACGGCGTCCTATTTGCGTCTTTGGGCCTTGAGTTTGGCACATGCCCGTGAGTTGTGTCGTATCGTTGTCATGTTATTACAGTTGGCAGGAACCGGTGATTGTTCCTGTTAGTAGATAAAGAATTCCGGCAGAGGTTTTTCTCATACTATCATATGTATAGAGTATCGACAATAGACCAGACAGTTGAGTCTGTTCGCTGTTGTTGGTGTGTCAACTTTTTGTAACTCAGTGTACATTCACAAATATGACATCCGTCTGGCATGTTTGGTACACGGCTTGTGTTTATAACGCCTCACCTTGTTTTCTCCGTAATCTTTTTGTTGCAGTTCGACTTTGGCGATACCATGATCTACCAGTCGATCCACACAATTGAATACTGTCTCGGATGTATCTCCAATACGGCGTCCTATTTGCGTCTTTGGGCCTTGAGTTTGGCACATGCCCGTGAGTTGTGTCGTATCGTTGTCATGTTATTACAGTTGGCAGGAACCGGTGATTGTTCCTGTTAGTAGATAAAGAATTCCGGCAGAGGTTTTTCTCATACTATCATATGTATAGAGTATCGACAATAGACCAGACAGTTGAGTCTGTTCGCTGTTGTTGGTGTGTCAACTTTTTGTAACTCAGTGTACATTCACAAATATGACAAGTATACTTTTAATTCCCCCCCCCCACACGTTCTCACAGAGCTCTCTGAAGTCTTGTGGACCATGGTCTTTCACATCGGGTTGAGTATCAATGGCTACTACGGCGGTGTCGTCCTCGTTATAATCTTCTTTTTCTGGGCTGTTCTGACGGTTGGTATTCTCCTGCTGATGGAAGGTTTATCCGCCTTCTTGCATACACTTCGTCTTCACTGGTACGTTCGCCCTTTTGACTCTCCTCGTCATCATCTTGATAAACGGACTTTGTAATCTATCTTCAACCCACCATGCTTATTTCCCACCTTCAGGGTCGAGTTCCAGAACAAATTTTACAAAGGCGATGGCTACCTGTTCGCTCCGTTCTCGTTCCGTCAATGTGTCAGTGGGAAGTTGGATTCCTAACTGCTACCTCCGTTGCTTGCTTGCTTTCAATTTTATGAGTGTTGTGACAGCGCTTTCCTCATCATTCCGCCGTACCTCCCATTTCTGGTTACTGTTGTGATTCCGTTCCTTATTGTGCTGGATCACCTCACCCCGCTACTTCGCTATTATCCTTGCGACCTGATTGATTATTTGTGTTGTCGACTGGTGTCGTCTCTTGTGAACTCTCACCATCCTATTGCTAAACTAGCATAATACAACTCATTTCACTGCCATTGAATTCCATGGCCGCGTTTTCTTAGATATGCTAGTCGTACTTGGTTTTATGACCAAGTTTGCCTGTCACAGCTTATTCCATAATAGGTAAGGTTTTTTGATTCGGCGCAATAGACTCGTGTAGGATATATCAGATGCAAAGTCATGTGTTATCTAGTGATGTCACTCTCAGTTAGCCGCAATGTAATTTTATCATTTCGTTCCTGCGGGTCGTCTAGCTTCATCATCGTTCAGCCACCATGTCATTGATCGGTCTGCAAGGGAACTAGCTTCTAGCTGGCTTTGTCAGCCACCGTCAACGTCACTCCAGTGACAGTGTCGAGGCGAGACCGGTCGAACTCTGCAGCGCGAGGTAGGGCATGCCGACTTTTTCATCCTGGTTCATGATCCTAATTGCTCAACGATAATTTCCATGTTCAACTCCAGTATACATAGGGCGCTGGTATTATAGTGGATACTAGTGAATGTCACCTCGGCGGGACTCGAAACTACTTTGACGGTGACTGCCTGTCCCTTCCCATCCCAACCTTCTGGTTGCCCAAGATGGGACAGTCAACTAATGAAGATGTATTTTAGGAGCTGGGCTACATTTAACGGCAATTTAGAAGATACGGTTGGAATGGCTTGTTCACTGAGCTCAGTAATATTGTTATGAACACGCTGATGAAGGTTGCATGACAGGTACATCGTAGGTGTACGCACCGTCAACATCGAGAAATCGGATTCGCTGTGCTTTCAGACCGAAATTAAGGCGAACCGACCACGTATGGAGGGTACGGACACGTTTCGGGCTAATGACCATTCACCAATTAGTTGGTAAAGAGAAAGCCAGGTCATCATAAGTTTGCGAAGGCGATGTGCTTTCCTCGATATTTTATGTGACGAGACCGGATGACAAAGCAATGCAGGGTAAGAGTGACACGGTTAAATAAACGAAGGATAGCCGTTTCCAAGCCCAACATAACCACAGCGTTATCAGGTAGGAATTTTGAATCTGGGCTGCTGTTCCACACGTGCGTGCAGTTGTCTACCTGGTATGATGTATATTGGTAGGTTGCTTTTTCACTACAATTCGTACTCAACCACTCCTGGTGTACCCTTGACTATGATTCTTGATAGTCGAAATTCGTTGACCTGAGAGGTGGTGATGGCACCATCCTAGGATTCTCAGCCGTCCTCGAGCACACTGGATTGAGAAATTCTCTGAAAGATGCTGTTGTTTGGTTCTGTCAGTTTCCGGTTTAGCTATCAAAACGTGTAGTCCGGCGGTGATCTTCGTTCACAATGCACGGGTGTTTGTTTTTCAAGAGCTGACGATCCCTAAAAGCGCAATAAACTACTCTGTCTCGTTTTAATTTCCATTGCGAGTGGCAGGGCGCCTCCGGGGAGCTGTGCTTCAAGAAGGTGAGCAGCCTTACCACTTTCTAAGCACCGGATTGCGAGTGTACCGGGCAGGCACATTCCAAAGTAAGCGCTCACTGGGATAAAAGAATTCTCCGCAAATGACAGTATCCACAGCTTTGGACAGGGTGACATCACAGATAATGCCCGGAAGCGAGTCGGACCGGTCATCAGTTTTTGGGTGGCACTGAACAGAAGAGCGATTACCATTCGAAGAGGAGCAGGATGTGATCTGATCGAGGGGCGGTGACTTTACAACCTGTCCGATTGTAACTCGGTCACCACTGGTCACTAATAAAGGTAAGATAATCGTTCAGCTGTAACACCCTTTCGGTGCCGAAGGAACCACGAGGGCTTGGATACTGCCAGGTTGCCCAAGGCTACGCAGTGGAATTCGAGAGGCAGAAGTTGGGTTTGATCCGCGGACCTTCCGGTCAATAAATTCTTTCTCATCACCCCATTAGTAACACTCCGTCAGGAAGAGACTGGACCTTACCATGGTGTGACGGTTTGCGCACCTCAGCGATCCATTGAGCTATACTGGAGAGTGTCGTGAGACACTCACAGAGTCTCTCACACCAGGTTGGTCAATGGTTAGAGGTCTGACGAACACAGTCTCCTGGCCCTCCAGGTTGGGGGTTGGAACATGTGGCGACTTGTTCCGTAGAAATGGTAATGCGTTTGCATTTCCCGCCAAACACCGCTGCCTTGCGGTTAGGCTTTTGAGCCAAAGGCTTTGGTTGAGGACCCTAATCGTCCTCCTGTCTAGGTGTGGGCGCCCTGGCAGTATCCCAGCCCTCGTACAACCATGACCTACACAACTAACAATATTCTCGTGCCACATCGGCCGTCGCGTGGTGCCATCAGCCGGGTCGCCTTACTTGAACGTCCGGATATTGGCGAACAACCGATTTAGCTATATACTGACCGCAGACAGTTTGTATTCAGTACTAACTTCTGAAATAACCGAAGTCGTCTGGCTACATGATGCCCTTCAACGGCGCGCCAGTCATGGACCCAACTTTATCTCATCGCCATCAGTTGATGATGAAAACTTATGTGGGTTCTGGCCATGCACTAATCTGGGGTTGGTCTTCTCTTCGGTTCTTAGGGTCGCGAAGCCTAACAACTGAGGGGCCGACAAATCCCGAATTTAGATGAATTTGTCGGAATTGTCTTTTGGACTCTTCTAACTACTTCACTGACTAATGTGATTTCGCGCAACGGATTAGATAGCCAATGCTGGCAGTTCCGCCTGTTTCACGGCTCTACCAATGTAAGGAAGAAGCTGCAAGAGCTTCACTCATAGCGACCCAGTCCATCTTCTTAGGGCCCCATCCAGCCTCATCCAGGGCCCCCTCCGCCAAACCTTCAGCGCCGCCAACTTACACCTGAATATAAGGTCCCTGGTGCAGCACATTCAGTTGCCTGGAAACATCGCAAACGAGGAGATTCAGTTGGGTTCCAGGTGAGACGCAAAACCAAATTTGTTTGCAAATGAATGCATTTCGCTCATACGCATCTTGTTTTTAAAAAATGAATATCCGTCTTCCTCTTGATTGCGTCTTCCTGAACATTCCTGGATATTCATAGACTATCATGCAAGTGTAAACGAATGCTACGAAGCGATACCACAAATTCCATAAAGTCCACCGCCCATTGGATCAAAGCGGAATTACAAGAAATCACATGCGACTCATATGCCCTATTAGTAGCACCTATGGTTACACCTGGTCCGCTCGAGCATTCGGCATGTGGTCACTGGGGCTGCTCGAATCCCGTGGAAATGCTTTCGCCGCTTCCGAACATAATCCAGCCCTAAGAATTTTCAGACGTCACCTGAAAGTGAGCATGCTTGCCGACTCTGAAGCATGTTGAACACGGAAGGCCAGGGAATATGGAGAGGCCGGGACTACCCGAATGTTACTTTAGTTGATCCGTCCCACCAGACCCCAGAAACCACCGATGAGAGAACATATCAACTACTATACGGGCGCGAACATTTTGAATAGAGAAGAAAGGCTTGCTTACTGGACCGAACGCTTACAGCAATACTTCTTTCGGCCATCTGCTGCTATCCAGTTGGATTCCGGGACTGCATCAGGACCCTGGACGGTGAACGTGGAACTCCATACGACCATGGAGTTTGTGCGTACATATATATATCATATGTCACTGAGATCCGGGTTTCCATGACCCCATATGGTTCAACTACTGGTGTGAAGTCCTCGGTCAGCGCTTGATTGTTCTATTTGTCTGCATCAGTGTAAAGAAAGCTGTCCCAGAAAACTGAGGAGAATCGATTATAGTTCTCATTTTCGAAAAGGGACATATGGTGTATGCAGTAATCACAGGTGAATCCACTTGACTCCAGTCGTGACGAGATTCTCGGCATCATCTTTGTTTTCTAAGACTTGTGTGAGAGCATATAAAGAGTTCTTCAAAAGCTCCCGTACACAAACTGGTGTCCTACAGGGTTGCGCATCCTCTCCATTCCTGTTCACTTTCATGCTCGACAAAAGAATGAGACGAACGCTGAAAGGTCTGGTGTTCAACTAACTGCTGGCGAAAATGTTAGCGATATGGGGAATGCAGATGACATCGTTCTGATGTTCGAAAAGGAGAAAAAGTTACAGGTGTCTCCAGATAAACTGACCATAGTCATCCTGTCTTTCGGCGCCCACAAGGTGGTACTGCTGGTGATGGCCACCGAAAACATCAATTACAATTCGAAGAGTCAGTTACCAAGCTCAGCGAACAGACCAACAATCACTTGATCAACCACCAATGAATGCATCCGAGCCATCCATTGACCGGCAATACTGCTGGTCTAACTCGACATACCGCTTACAAGGGACTGAGTAAAGTTAATTCAAGTGCTTGGTTCTTGGTCTGTTCGCCGAGCTTGGTAGTTGGATTGCAAAGTTTCATCACCAATCGAGGTGGCATCGTCAGTGCAGGGTTGAGTGAGTGAATTCCTCCTCTTCTGCCTGTGATTATATAGCATCTAAACAGTATCGCGTAGTTCTAAAAGCGGTCTTCGGAGGCCAATCAAACTACGCGAAGACCGGTGGTTCTACCTATATCTCTTCTTACGTGGCAACATTTCTGGCTTAAATGCTCCCGCTCACGAGCTTCATAAAAATAACTCAAAATGTCCGAGACCTGATTGAAAGGAGTTGTCTATCGATTAGTTTGTAATATTTGATGATTATGTAGTAATGTCGTCAGTGTGTGTGACCTCACTTTCACAACAGGTAAAGTGAGGGTTACATTTATCGAAAGAGCTATAATATCCTGTGCGTAACCAAAAGAATCAGATCACTGCAAGCATAGCAAGGCGATAAGATTGCATGCTCCGCAATTCCATGCATAGCAGAACATGTGTGTGGTCGAAAATGACCACAGATGCACTCTGATTGGCTGGGAGTTTCTCATCTCTAAGGTAGCCAATCACGTCAGAAGATAACAGATGGCCTTTGACTGCTATATAAAGACACGAAGGCAAGGAAGAAGTACCCACCCAACTGCGCACTGATGATGTCTCCTCGTATGGTGACGAAACGTTTGCAAGCCAATTGCCAAGCTCGGCGAACAGATCAACAGCC